TTGCCAATCTTGCTCTTTTTTTTTTTTTTTTTTGCCTGAGGAAGACTAGCCCTGAGGTAACTTCTGTGCCAATCTTCTTCTATTTTGTGTGTGGGTCACTACCACAGCATGGCTGACAATGTTGTAGGTCCAAGCTAGGGATCAGAGCCTGAGAACCTGGGCCATCAAAGTGGGGCACACTGAACTTAACCACTATGCCATGGGGCTGGGCCCTCTATAAGTTGTTTTTAATGAGAGGAAAACATACCGTAAAAATTATTTTAAAATAAAATCTTAGAAAGTAAGAGAAAACCAGTTTGGGAGAAATAAACTATGTTAAATCAACTGATAGTATCCATTTTGTTGGCAGGACATGTAAGATGAAGTTTGAAGTGCTCGGCATTCACAAAAACATACATAGGAAACTTCTTACCTGTAGTCCACTTGGAAATGATTAACAGTGCTTCAGATCAGTCTGATGCTTGTCAAAAAACACTTTTATTGATTTCTAATATTTTTCCTTAATTCAAATATGTATAAAACCAGCCTCTTTATCTATCTTACCCAGAACATTCATCTGTCCAACATTTTTATTAACACCAAAGTCTCTACTCTTTTCTCCATTCACTAGGATTATGATAGCTATTTTCAGAAAATGTGAATTTTGCCCACTTGACTTCCATGGCACTAATTCAGTTAAGATTTTAAAATATATACAACAGAACAAAAGATTATGGCAGATGATTTTTAATCAAAATTATGACCAAATGGAGTATGCTGGATCAAATCTAGAATTCAAACTTACCAAAAGGGGAGAATATGTCTTAAAAGACAAGATAACTAGTGAATATTTGTAACAAAGGTAACTTTCTGACATTATGTGTGTAGGTACTTATGAGCAAAAGCAAAAGAGTAATTGATTCTTAGAGAAAGAGTATGTCTTGAAGCGGGCCATGCAAGTAAAGCCAATACAAATACTAATGATTAAAAGGAAGTGGCCTGTGTGTGACTGCGAATTATTGTAACGCTGTTCATCAATCAAGAAATGAGTGATTTGAGTTGACTGAGGATATTATTTACCTGACCTGGGCTTTAAGCTCAAGTTAAACGTTATATATTCATTGATTTGTTTCTCCTAAGGACTTTCTATGGTTTTAATTCTTTGTGTGGGGTCCCTCACAGGGTAAGTGCCAGGTAAATGCTTTCTGAGTAGTTCATGCAATGAATGCCTTTTGGGGACATATTGTAAAATGTTGTGAAATCATTTAATTCTCTCACATTTTAAAGAGGACTCATTCAAAGAGACCTGATTTAAACTTCAGTTCTGCCATGGCTTAACTGTCTGTCATTGGCTGAGTTATTCAACTTAATGAGCTCATCATCTTTAAAATGAAATCAATGATACCTACTTCATAAGAATATTGTTAAGATTAAGTGAGGATGTATATATGAAAAAAACAAAATAATATTCCAGGGCAACATGACTTGGGGAAATTGCACAAGTCTTAAAATTAGATAGATCTAAATTTATACTCGGCCAGTGAGAAATTGAGCTGTTATTGGTTCCAGCTCCTCAGTTACAATGCTATGTAATTATTCATCCATGTTTTTTGCCACGTGACTTGGCAGTGTTTCCTGCTATGGCTGGAATAAATTTCCTTGCCTTTTGATGTTGGATTGGACCATGGGAATTGCTTTGACCAACGGAGTGTTAGTGGAAGTGTCTAGACTGTGAGAGGCAGCACGTGCTCCCGCTTTCTCTCTGTGCTTTTGCATTTGCATGGGGAGAGTATGTTCAAGTTAGTCTGCTGTTTCATAAAAAAGTGAGGAGGCATGTAGAGAAAGCTTGAACCCAACCTGCAAATTGGAGCAGAGTGAATGATTCTAGCTGAGCCACAGCTTTTCTTTACATCAATTAATGATAAATGAATGCTAGTAGTTGCTGGCAAGTGAGAACTTTGGAATTGTTTGTTACCTAGCACTATCTTGGCACTTTTGGCTACTCTATGGCCCTATTCAATTACCTTGAATGCAGATTTTATTTTTCCAAAGCTGTTCAGATTGTTTTACATTTAATCTCTTCACATATCTGAAAGGTAGTGGCTATAATATTCTCTTTGTACATTTATGGAAATCCAGGGAAGCAAAATATCTTTAACATTAAATCAGGTGCCTTAGCATAATTTTATATATTTCCCATATAGCTTGGTATATTTTATTATATTTATTTATATAGAATACAAGTTGATTAATTTTATATGTAATTTATCTCTGTGATGGCATTTACAAAATTTACCTGTGACAAACATGATCCTCCTCTTAAGTCATACTTGCTGACACAAGGCAAGAAAAGACTGTCAAAAAATTCTAGACAAAGTCCTGAAGGTCTCTCTTCATTAGAAGAGATCCAAAGTAATGCTTTAGTTGTGTTGCTGAAATATAGGGATGGGGCTGATGAGGCGGGCTCTCCATCTTCTGCAAGGCTTGGCCCTCACTTGACAGTGTCAGTTTTCTCTATGGATGTAGGGTTGAGATAAGCTGAAGTGAAAAAAAAGACCCCCAAAAAGAAGGCTAAAGAATACAGATGCTAATTTCTCTCTCACATAATGGATTGGAAGTGAGTAATCCTGAAAGGGAAAACAACTCTGATCCTCATGGTCATTGGTGCAATCAAGTTCCTTCTAAGACATAACTCTGCCATCAAACAGGACACTGTCATCTTAGCTATGGTTACAACTAAGTGACTGACATGCTCAGGTTTCAGCCAGTGGAAGAGAGGAGAGAAAGCAGAGGCACACCTACCATTTTAAGGCTCCAGCAAGGAAATGACACATAGCACTTCTGTTCACACATCATTATTGAGAAGTTAGTTACATGGTCACCTCCAACTGCAGGGGGGCCTGGGAAATGTAGTCTCCAGTTAGGCAGCCAAGTCCTCAGCTGCAACTCTATTACTATGAAACCCTGCAACACCTACAATGTGCTGGAAGTAAAACGGCCTCTCTCAACCTCTTTACCTAAAGAGAAACCCCTTTCATTCACACGCTGCTGCAACTTCTATATTGGTCCTAACCTCTAATGTATATTTTTTGGATCCTATGTACAGAGTTCCTATTTCAATTCTCTACTTTTTAGCAGGGTGACATTGGACAAGTTACCCTGGAGTCTCAGCTGCCTTATCTTTAAAACGAGAATTAAAATACTCATCTTGTAGAGTTATAAAATATAATAAAATGTTTGTAGAAGCACTTGGAGCAGTGGCTGGGATATGTAAAGCAGCTAGTAAATGTGTTCTATTGTTGTTGTAGTCATTGCATCATTTTCATTGTAATTGTAATGGCAAGTGACACTCACGGGTTGGTAAGTACTACTAACACTGTTGTTGGAGTGGACTGAGGCCTAGATTCCCACACGGTGAGATCCTAAGAAGGAACTCTCTTTCCTCACTTCTACCTGGTTGCTCTTCACACCATGCCCCGGCACTCCGGGAACACTTGCTGTGTCACATGTTGGATTTGGATTTGGCTAGCATGAGCTTCCTTGGACCCTCACCTGTCCTTGAAGACTAGCTCCTGCCAGTATTGTTCCTCCCTTCTCCCCAACACCCCCTCTCCAATGATACTAAAGATGCCCAGTGCAAGCCATATAAGTCTCTGCCAAGTGTTCAGTTGAGCCTGCTTGTGACAGGAGATTTCTTCTTGCAGGGCCCAAACAGTTTGGCTTGGTGAGCCCCTGACCACCCCATAGAGTTCTGTGGCCAGAGATATCCCACAGCAGGCCTGTGTGGACAGCTTTACAGTGGGCCTGGGCAGAGCTCACAAACCCAATTTGGCTCCAGATACACTCTCTGTCTTGCCAACATTCTAAGAATTTGGGGTGGAAGATTGCTTAGGGGACTGCCATCCTCAGTGAAGAGGAACCCAAACTTTTAACTGAAAAGATTCTTGGCCCATGTGAATTCACGATCTCTGGTGGGTGAAAACTATCCTGTGCTTTTGTTACCTGAGTTTAGTAAACATATTCAAGCTTACCACTCCTTTCATCCGACAGACTCACTAGAACTACACTGTCCAAAATAGTACTGGGTTATACGTGGCTGTTAGGTCATGTGTGGATATTGAGCTCTTTAAATGTGGCTAATCTTAATTGAGATGGACTGAAATTTTAAATACACACAGTCTTGAAGACTTGCTTAATATGAAAAAAAATTTAAATATCACTAAATAATTTTTATATTGATTACGTCATAAGAGCATTTTGGAAATATTGAATTAAATAAAGTACGTTGTTAAAATTAACTTCATTTGTTTTTCATTTTTACTTTTTTAAAAAATGCAACCACTAAGAACTTTAAAATGACATATGTAGCTCAATTATATTTGCATTGGACAGAACTGCACTAGATTTTATGGACTCAAGCTATGTAGGCATATAAATTTCAACTCTGTTTGTGTCCCAGTAAAGCTGAGAATAATTTCAAGAGGTACTATTGACCATAAGCGTTTCTTCTTTATGATTTTGATCAACAATGATAAAATCGCCAAAGTCAGCTAGTTTTAGTGAAGAGTCTTTACACACTTCATCTTGCATTGGCAAATTACGTTTCTACTATGTGCTTTCTCTTGAAATTATTGAAATTTCTGAAAAAAATTAATTAATTAAATAGTGACTATGTCTAAGAGAGTCTTAAGAAGATTCCAATTAGTTGAGGATATTTCTTTCCAGTTACTTTCTCTTCATATTCTGATTGATAAAATAGCTACCTTGTCAGATTAAGGGTAGGGGAACTCACATGTCAGAGAATCTGGCTCTGAACTGAATTCCATTAGATAAAGAGGGGTCTGTACCAGTAGGCTATAGCTGTTAAAGATTAAACAATAGGAGTATTATTCCATCAAGTTTTAGAAACTTGAGTTTGGTTTATATGTCTGGATCAGTCAGGATACAATCGGAAAGCAGAACCACTAGGAGCTATATTCATTCATTCGTTTATTCATTCACGTATTTTTATTAAGGGATTTATTACAGGGGTTTGACTTTATGCAATCATGGGAGCTAATTAACAGGCACTGTGAGGCTGCTGTCCTTGTGTCTGATGCTAAAGCTTGAAGTCCACAAGGATAAGGGAAGATGCATATAAAGTGGAGGAGAGTAGGAGCATGCTGGAACCCACAATCATCAGTTTTATTGCTTTTCACCTTGATGGCATGGATTTCCTGCAGAAGCTGGGGCCCTTCATCATGGTATTTATCTGACTTAATCCATCTGCTTAAAATTGCCAATTTTTAACCTGATGCAGTATTAATACACACACACACAAACACACACACACACACATACACATGTACACACATGAGTTGGAAAAGCAGAAGAAGAATTCAGCAGAAGGTGGAGCAGTTGCAGGCCTGAACTCTGTCTCATACCAAGAGGTGAGCCAGAGGACAAGTGAAGATTTGTGTGACTTATAACAATGAATGCTGCTTGACTTCCATCCTCCAAATCTGAGTCTCTCTGTGGCTCACCATCATTGGAAAGATACAGGGAAGGCAAATCTGGGAAACATAGCTCAACCTAGCCAGGTGGGACAAAATCAAAGCCACTAGAGGGTCTCTTCATGTGCGTGTTCTTGTTTTCTGTGCTCTTCAATCTGTCTTCTGTACATAGGGACATTGGGTATATGTGCGTAGCCTTTCTTGTCTTTCTCTCCTTCTCTTGTGTGTGTTTTGAATATGTTTGCGTTGTCTCCTTGGTGTATTTTTCTTTGTTGCTGTTTCTTTGGGGCTCATTTTTCTTTTTCTTTGATGCTGTATCTTTCCCTTCCTGTATCTTTGCCTCCTGGCGTCTTGCCTGTCTGCCTCGCTCTCTTTCTCTTTTATGACCAAAGGCTAAATTGCTTTAAAAAATAGTTTTAGTCCACTTAGTGAATATATTTTTATGGTCTCTATTCTTACATTCAAATAGACTACGGGGCAACTTAGATTTCTTTCTAGAAAAAAAAAGAAATCAACTTAAAAAAAAAGTTGAATGGCTCTAGATTAATGTCTTCTGTGAGTAAATATCCCTGGTAGAAATAGTCTAATCAATATTAAAAGTAATTGATGCCAAGCTTTAATGGATGCCTTCAAGCAGCTCTGACAGCTGCCATGCATCACCTCTTACCACCACAGCAGTTGACCAGTACTCTGTCTGGTTTTTAAAGGGTATTTATCACCCCATTTCACTATTTTGCTTTTTTCAGGTTGGAGATTGCTTCATGCATGTCACAGCAAAGAGCCACCTCTAAATTTGAGGGATCTCTAGAAAGTATTATTTTCCAAAAATTTTTCTAGGGACCTTTTCAACCATCATTCCTCTGTATCAATTATCAAATTATTAAACATAAAATTGCCCATATGGATGTTGTTATTATTTTGTCACTCTCCCATGTGGACCAGATTAATGGGATATTTTCCTTCTGTAGTCTAAATGCAGGGGAGTGTGAGTTTGGAGAAAGGGTAATTTGACAGCATCAAAGTTGCTTAGTGTGCTACTGGGGTCATTAACCAACAGGGAAGATTTGGACTTGCTGGAGAACAGCAGAGATCAGTGCGATACTTGGGTGGAGAAATAAATGTCAGCAGATAGGCAAATGGGAGAGTACAAGCAAATTTTCTCTGCTTCTTAGATTAACTAGGACAGGCTGTCTACTGTTGTGTATTTTCAAAAGATCTCACATCTGAAACTTCTAATTAGTTAGATCTATCTGGAGCTTGCCTCTCTACGTAGGTAGAGGCCCTCTCTGGTCAGGAAAGGGTAATGGAGACCTCACTCCAGGATGTAGGACCAATCATGACAGGTGAGCTTTCCTCTCATGCACACATGAATACACCCACACTGTACACACATACCCACGCACAAAACCAGATTGTAAAATGATGAGTTATAATTATAATATTGATGTCTGACTTTGGTATAGAATTTTAGGATTTACAGAGTGTTTTCTCATATATTATCTCAGAATGAAGAGAATAATAATGGGAGTCAGTGACCACAAGTAGGAGGAAATGGGGAGAGTGAACAGGAAAGAACAAGAGAAATAGATAGGGAAGAAAGTGCCTGTGGGTGGGAACCAGTTGAAAAGTAGAACATGGAGAATGGCAGTTAACCAAGGGAACTTAGTATCTCATCACTCATCTAATCAACCCATGAAGGATGACGATATTTTCTGTAAATGCGCCTCAGTATCTTGAAAACAGATGCAGTGGATTGGAGAGTATTGAGATTTGAGTCTAGAGTTCAAAATTAGTTAAACACATTTGGAAAAAGTTAGAACAAAGATTTCAGAGAAGGACAGCTATGTAGGCTGCTTTTACTAAATCTGTGTGAACTGTGGCTTGAAAACCAACTTCAAGCCTTGCAGAGTTTGGAACACTGATAAGGGTCCGCATGTGTTTCATACAGCTCTTTGCCCATGGGGAAGCAGAGCTGGACAATCAGGTGGTCCCCTCATACGGCATTCAGCATTTTGCAGGGGTGGAGCAATTTAAGCAGCCCCACCAAGGGACCTGATGCCCAGCTACGCAAAAACCAGAATAATCTAAACTGACCTCACTAACACGCCAGTCATGTGACTTGGGCTGGGTTGGAATGTGTGGTCTGAACGGACATCACTGTGGGTCCTGCCACCTCGCCCCAGAAAGCTGACATCAAAGGGCAGAGAAAAGCAACCACCAGTCCTCGCAGAGGACTGACATTTACTTCCCAAGGATTAGTTCTTGTATAGATGAAACCCCCCTTTTTTTTTCTAGTTTATGGTGGTTATATCAAAACGAGGATGATTTTGATCTTAGCAATGAAGTTGTTCTCCCTTCTCCAGGGTTTCCATATTCTGTGCTGTTCTCTTCAGTGTCTCTTTCCAGGCATCCTTGACAAGTAGAATTGGGATGTTCAGAACGATGAGCTTCATGTGACTCTTTCCAGATTTACTGTGACCTTCTCCATAGTGTGGGTCCCCCTGATGCAAGAGAGAAGAAAATAAATAAAAACCACGTGCTTTCAGTTCTGACTCTGCCCCTCAATACAGGCATTATACCTGGGCTTCGGTTTCCTCATCTTCAACACCAGGTGATCATTCTGGGTTGTCTCCAAATCTGCTTATGTTTTGATATCATGTGATGGAAACAATTTTAATGCCTTCTGTAAGAACCCACAGACTTTCTTTTTGTAATAAGCACGTGCTTCTTTCCTCTAAAATTACTAGCAGATTGGTTCAACATTTTGAAGGCTGCCAAAACAGGAAGATAAAGCTTTATTCAATTATGAATAATTTTGAAGAGCTTTGGGTGTGTCTCTTACAACAGGTCAGCAATTCCAGTATGCTGCCCACTGACTATCCCTGCAGGAATGTGTAAAAGTCAGGCCATGTGAAGCCTGGGGATCAAAGAGAAAGGCCAGGAGACAAACTGCCTTCCATGTTGGTGGGTGAGGGCCAGAAGGCTGGTAGGACCAACAGGGTAAAGATGGTGCCACAATCATATCTTCTTCAGTTTGAGACTCCCAGAAAGGAGCTCTTAGTGGAAGACAATCTTGGACCAAATGGCCTAGGAGAGACACCTGGGAGGTTTGTAATGTCTTTCACTAATGTAAGATGCCATGAATTCCTTTAGTATCACACATTAGGTTGTGTCTTCATAGATGCTTGATTAGGTCATGTCTACAGGCAAAACTCTTAGTTGAAACTTACAAAAGAGAGTAGAAAAAGGCAGAAATATTGTTTTTCATTCATCTCTTTATCTTCATGATGCTAAGGAAGAATATATAACCAACTTTAATCTTATGTGACTGTTTATTTGAGTACTAACCAATATTTCATGTGTAGGCCTTATTTGGATTTGGTTTACATGTTCATTCTTATATCATTCAGTTTAGTGAGAAGACACAAAAGTAAACTGAATAGGCATATTCTTGAATTATTGTTCTGTGTTATCCATAATCATATTTCTGTTGTTGTTTTTCTTATACTCATGTTCATTATACAGATTTTGAAAGGTACAGAATATAACTTAAAATCATATTACTAATAGTTTCACCCCCAGAGGCCACTGCTATTGAGATTAGGAGACATTTCTTTGTAGTTGTTTTCTTTGGCTAGGTAAATCAGAACGTTATTATTAGCGATTTTTTAAAATTTTAAAATGGGCATGATTCTTATTTCCTCTTATTAAAGAGGCCTGTAATAAGCCAATATTGATTCTCAGCTATTTTCTAAGTAGACCAAACTTGGCTTTGCTGTCTCTAACATTCTCAGCTTTGCCCTCCTGACTTCTCCACTCCAAGGGCCTCATGTGGTGGCGCTTCTGTCCACCTTCCCCATTTCATCGCATCAGCTACCGTGCCTCCATTTGGCCTGTTGTTCCTTTGTAAATATTCTCCCTCACACTCGGCCCATACAGCAATCTCCACCTTCAGTGACACATACATATTCAAATAGGCTTTTCAAATACCTAGAACCCATTGACATCAAGAATTACTCATATGGCCCACTGATAGATGAGATGGATTGAGAGGTCCTCAGATCCCACCATATTGTATTTAGAGTCCTTAGATGAAACTCCAGAAGAGATGATGAGAAAATGTTCACAACATTGGTGAGTCAGAGAGGGGCCCCCTCCCTCTATCCCTGTTAGAGTTAACTAAACCTTTAATTATAAGTTGTTTATGAAGATATCTTATTTCTATCTTGGAATCTGTCTATTTTTCTCTTGTTTCTCTTCTATAAACATTGTCTTCTCTTCCAGCTGGGTCTCTATATGTTCCAGTCTAATGAAGGGGTTTAGCTGGTAGCAGGTCTCAGGTGAGACTGTTCACAGGAACAAGGTTTAACCAACAAATCTAGGCGTCACCCTTTCCCTCACCTGTCCACCTCACAAGCACGCACAAACACATACCCTTCTAATCCCTCAGCAAGTCCCGTCAGTTAAGATTTCAAGCCATATCTATAATTCAGAGCACAGTTTTCTGCATCTACTATCCCTGTCCTTGTCCAAGCTCCTGTCGGGAAAAATTGTGAAAGACTTTGAAATGAGCACAAAAAGATTACCAGATGTCTTGTCTAGCACATTTTCCTCATTATCTGTTCCTTCCATAGTCTTTCAGCTATTTTACAACTGTTTTAAATTGTAGAAAACTGATAGTAATGCAAGTGGTTCTTATTCATACAAATGCAATTGATTATTGCCCTATGGATATTGGCCAGTTTTGCATCTACTGTATTTGCAATTCATTTCAGCATTTCTTATTGCTAACGTACGTGTGTTCTTTGACTTATCCTTTGAATTAGTTGTAACATCTTACTGTTTTCCTCATTAACTAATGAATTAAATCCCATCTTTGACTCACGGTTTTATGTTAAAAATCACTGTCCAACACTATTTTCAATTCTTTCCTGGACTGTATCTGTCCCCAAACTTGATTGTTTTCTCTTGTTCCCTCTTGCAAATCTTTCTCCATAGAGCAATTTGAATGATCTCTTTTAAGAATTGAAATCAGACCATCTCGCTTCTTAGCTGAAAAATTTCCAAAAGCATCCTATTGTTTTTCTAGTGAAATCTGAGCTCCATAGCATGGTTTACAAAACCCTAAAGGATCTGGTACCTGTGTTCTCTCCAACCTAGTCTTATACCCTTCCCAAGATTTTTCACCATAGTTCATCTAAACTGGCCCCATTTCTGTTCCTGAAATTTATCAAACCTTTTCCCATCACAGGACCTTCACACTTGCCTATCTATGCCACGTTTTATCTTGGACATTTGCCTGGCTGATTCAGTTTTGTTTTTTAGGTCTCAACTTTCCTCTTAGGTCCCCCTGAGACCTCTGGTCTCATTTCCCTGCTCAGATAAGCTCTCCTTGACTAATCTTTGTAAAACTAGCTCCTGCATTTAATATCAATTTTGTTGTAAAACTGGCTCCTGCATTTACTATTTTGTCCTATTTATTGTAATCTGTATTGACTTTACTTATTCCTTTATCTCATCTCTGTTTGACACCTCCACTAGGAAGAAGAGTCAATGAAAGGACAAAATGTATGGTTATATTATCTGTTTTATTACCAGATATATTTCCTGTAGCAAAGAGTGTTTGTAGAATAAATGAAAAATATGGGCTAGGAAATGCCGGAGGAGGAAAAAGTCCATGAATTTCAGAGGGAGAAATCTGAGGAAAGATGATTGAGAAAATAGAGGCTCTACCAAATGGCTAGTTGTAGTCAGATGAATGTTAACAAGAGAAATGGTGTGTTCCATGATGACCAGTGAGCCAGGTGTAAGTGTGGGTATATTCAGGAACAGGAACAAGTAAGGATGCAGTGCCCAGATACCAGTATGATGCTCTTTGGAAGAGTAGATAATCCATCTCTTGTTGACTTGTAAGTCAGATATATTTAGTATAGTGTTCTGTCCCTTGTTGTCTTGGGGCTTAGGTAGAAGTTCAATAATTAAGAATTCCCAATCTCACTAATGTAGTAATTTTATTATCCTGGTTTCTAGAACATTATTGGTAATCAATTAATGCTGGATGAACATAGAATGAATGAATAAATACCTTGTATGTAAATATAGTTTCTAGAAAGATAGAGGCATAGATAAATAAGATGCTTTGATACACTGATGATAGTTGTACCGACATGGGAAAATGAAACGTTGCTCTGAGAGTAGTGTGGTTAGAGAGAGCTCATTATCCTGCACTGTTTCTCTTATTCCAAGTCCTTTTAGATCTTGTATTTCTCCTCAATCTCCTTTCTCCTTTTAATCACTTTATTTTTCACTATGGTCTCCTATTTTTTCTGGGTACTTTTTACTTTTTGTTGACATTTTTCTGTCTTCACCTTCTCTAGAGAATGAGTATGGAAGGATCTCCAAGCACCAAATACAGCTCACTAGCTCTAGTGAAGCTTTTGAGAATAACGTACGCATGAAGGGCCATAAGTTGATGATGTTGGCCATACTGATGTTTTTAATGATGAGAGTGACAAGATCATTAAAATATTAAAGCCTCCAGGCCATGAAAATTGGGCATTGACCACGAAATTAAGATTATTATAGGTAATGGAAGAAAGGTGATGTCTGAGCTTGGATTCTCCAGAAAGTAAAGCCTGAACCAAAGGCAGAAGTGATAGTAGTTTATTGAGGAGTGAGATCCAAGGAGGTGGAGACAGGGCCAGGTAAGCAGGGAAGAAGAGAGAACAGAACAAAGATGCATTATAAATTTGAAGTTGGCCATTGCTATAGGCAAATAGTTGTTCGAGCTCCCAGGTTTGCCTAAAGCGGCATATGAAATGCTTTTCAAGGTTACCAGCATAAAAGGGAAAGCAAATCCATCAGCTTACATTCCCCATTAGTCAAAGGTTCATCCCACAGCATGATAATTTTTCAGCATTTTCAAGTTGCACATTTGTGAATGCCAAGAGGACTCCCATTGGGGTCTGCTACTACAGTATCATTAAAAAAGCTCCTGGGCAGAAAGTAAGTGATGCGTGGCCCAAATCTGAGATGAGGTGCATCAGGGCTCACCAGCGTGAAGCTAGGTGGTCAGAATAAGAGACAGATGAGGGCAAGAGAACATGAAGTGGGGTAAATAAATGTTTAAAATACAGGGGAAGCAGCAACATAAAAAAGAAATAGAAGAAGAAGAAGACAGAAGACAGAAGACAGGCAACAAGACAGAGAATGATTAACCAGCTGTGTGACCTTATACAATGCAATTTACTTCTCGCAACCTCAGAACCTTTGACTGTGAAATGAATTAACATTGGCTGAATGATGGAATCAACTGGTGATCCTAAAAAACAGTAATCTCTAGGTCCCACCCCCAGATTTTGTGATTTAATTTGTCTCTGGTGCAACCCAAGCATTTGAGATTTTTTTAAAAAACTACCTAGGTGATTCTAATATGTAGGCAAGATTAAAAATCTTTGTCTAAAACCTGTAAGGGTTCATCCACTTCTAACGTGTTATTATTCTATCCGCTGTTTTAAAAACTTCTAAGGAAAAATATTCTCCAATCATCTTCTTCAGTTAGATATGTTTTATAAGAGCTTTCAAACTCTGTGTACTTATGCTTATATTCCTCCATTTGCAAATATATCTCAGTTAAGCAGATTATTGTGGTTTTCTCAATTTTAGGCCAATTATAAATTAAACTAATTGTTTCAATTGGCCTTTGATTAATATGTTTTTGTTTCTCCAGAATAACTCTGTTGCAATTTCTACTGGCTGCGTAGTATAGTTC